GGAGTTATATATATATATATATATATATATATATATATGAATTTAATAAGCATCCCTAGTATTTTCTCTAATGATGATACTATCTTCGATTTATATTTATGAATATTCTTGTCCCACCCCAATTCTTTCTTCTACGAACCCACAAGCTTTTGCAATTGAAAAGCATCAACTGAATTCTTGTTGTGCCGCCTTACCCTTAACCTTCTAAAGCTAAAGCTGAAGGTGTGTATATGCCTAAATCCGAACCAATGCCGTGCCCGTGGCCTTCTTCAAAGCCAAATTGTACCACTTTCAAAACCCACAGTCACTTTTACATAAAATACATAGCTATTGATTATCATTTTTTTAAAGATCAAGTAAAAAAGTAATGGCCTTCATGCGGCCATGTATCATATGAGTATCAACCAGTAAATTCTCTTACAAGACCATTTAAACACACTCACTTGTCTACATTGAGCATTAACGACTGCAGCTCTATGTAAGGGGGCATGTAAATGAATAAATGCATAATTATGGTAATGACTTAAGTTACTATTATCCTATATATTTACTTCTCTTCCCATTTGCAAATGACAAATGTCCCATTTACAACCTTATACAATTCTATATATCAAAATTTCTCAATCGAATGATCAAGTCATTAATCGATCTACAGACAACACAACTCAAACTTCCACAAAAATTTGAACAAGCTAGGGTTTAAGCTGCAACTACGAACTATATCAATACTGCGAAACATAAATGACGCCAGTCAAAAACCTATTTTCTTCTCCGACTCATTCATTCGAGATTATCTCATATGTACCTTCGCCGGGAACATCACACGGCCGTCCCCCTCTTGATCCGCTGAAAAATTTGATGGACCTCAATAAAAAACCAGGCGCACTTGATTATTTCAATCGCATATGAGATCATCTCGCCAACCAAGGCTATCTCACAGACTCGAAGGAAACATTACTTCAAAAGGAATAGCATACATTTCCCCCATCAAAGAAAAACAGAACAAAAAAGCCAAAAATATCGGGAGCTCACAGTTCTTCCCAAGCTTGAAGCAATTCCCAGCCTTATCGTACAAATCGGCGGCGTCCTCGTACTTGGATCCGAAAAGCCCCCAACCGGCGAGCTTTTTCTCCGCCTTCGTCTCAAACTCCTCCCCCCTCGCCGTCTGATCAGCCATCTCTACTGCAGCCCTGCCAAATCCTCTCTGATTGTCCCTCTTTCTTTTGGGATCCTGCGTTGGAGAAGATGGAAGTTGGCGAAGAGCAGAGACTAGTGAGAAGAAAAGGGGGCAAAAAAAAAAAACAGACGTCGAAATCCGAAAACCGAGACAAGACAGTAATTGTTAATAGTCAGATTATTGCAGGATTGCAGCCGAAGACCGGTCTGGAGACCCGGCTTAGCCCTCGATAGCCGGCTCAAACGCGACCTAATTCGGCTCGTTCTACCTGAAAAGATGTGAATTTTATCGATTTGACAACAATTTTATGTTAACTTATTTTTCAATGTATTATGTATTTTTTATAATTCTATATTAACGTATTAGTAGAGTCGTGAATCACACACTAAGAAATATAACCCAAGAAATGAGAGAGAGAGCGAGGGCAGTGAACAACATGTCTTGTTTATATCTTTATTTATAGAAGAAAGGGTATAATATAGTGATATTATATATTTTTTTTCTTTTTCATGAGGGATGTACAGGATATTCTAGTTATTTTACTTATATGAGACTATAGCTCAATTGCTCCTAACTTAGCCTGTTGGTCTAGTATGCCTCCGGCTCGAAAATTGATTTGGTTGGTCAGATTGAGCTGGTGTTACCTATTGGTTGAACTTAATTAGCTTCTAGTCGGCATGACTGACTCGATCTCCTAGGTTTCATTAATCGGTTGATCTAGTCTAGTTCTCGACCCTCGATCACTTGAAAGTGCATGTCTTTCAAGGATAAGAAGTTCATATCAATAAAATGAGACTAACTATAGGCCATAAAATGAATCATCGTAACTCGATATGTAGCTCATTTATCAACGAGGAGAACCTGATTATAGAGCTCTATTATTAGTCCGTGATAAGAAGCCTCAAGGGCATCCGTGGGAGAGTTGTCATAAAAACTCAATTATATAAATATGTATATATTTTTATAATAATTATATATTTTATATTATTACAAATATAATCAGATGACAGCATGACATGACCGTCATGCGGCATAATTTTAAATTTAAAATACAAAAGATATAAAAAACTAATTATTATTTTAGTATATGGTTTATTTTTAAAATTGAATATAATATATATTATGATTACAATATTGAATACATATCGTAATAAATAACAAAATATTACACATGCACAGTTATTTTTAAAGCGAATTTAATTTTAATACTATAATTATTTCATTAATTATGAATGTCAACTATAGTTACGTAACAGCAAAAGTATTTATTTATTTTTAAAAATGATGCGTGCGTGCATGCTGCCAGCACACCCAACTCTTGGCTCAAGCGTGCCAAATTCTATAATTTTCAAGTGTTCCAAACTAAATTTTAAACATTTTTTGAGTATAATGCAGCACTTATAATTAATTTTGAGCTATAGCTCATGTCTCACACCGATTAATGTCATCTAACTATTATTATCTGATCATCTTTACTTAATTATCATAGTCATATTATAATCATTCGGCTACAACTGTACAATCATCGTCACCCGATTGTTACGATCAGACCATTATCATTCTACTGACATTATCTAAACATTATCTTCCAGGTCTATCACTTTATTATTTTTGTTAGTACATTATAGCTCAATCATCATCATTTAACTATTATTGTCTGACCAATGTCATCGGACCATCATTATGTGATTGTTTTCTTGGTGTTGATTATCTTCTAATTGGTATCTCATATTTGTTATCATCTAAATGACATCACTCTGTCAATGTCATTATTCATCAGTTATCTCGAGCTTTAGTATATATATATATGATACTTAGCTTAAGTACATTATTTCATCATCTCATCTTCTCTAATCAAAGAAAATTTTTCTTAACTCCATGCAACATCAACAACAACAACAACAATCAGCCTTTATATCACTAAGTGGGGTTGGCTACATGAATTCTTACTCTCCATTGTGTCATATTGAGTGGCATATTTTCTTTAAATTCTAAAAAATTATGAAGAATAAAATGTTTTTTAATAAATAATGTTTTAATCAATTTGTAATATCTTCTAAAAATATTATTGTAAAAATATCTTTTAGATAGCAATGCTAATTATAAATATTATACATTTGATTTAAATTTGCCAAACAAAACATTAAATCAAACAAACCCTTAATTTTATTTAATTTATAGCACTTCACAAATCTATGCCCTATCCAAATATAAATATTTATATTTTTTTTATTTTGCAAAAGCTCACAAAAAGTTTAAAATTAATAGCGCTCATGTTCCTCAATTGGAAATGATCTAAATTTTAATGAATATATAATAATTGATGATGTAGTAAGATATATCCGAGATTTTAGTAGGTGAGTCATTAGCATTTTTTATTTAATTTATCATGAAATTCATTAAGGTTAATATTAAAAAAAAACTTCCTAGTGTTGTCACCCAAACTAAAGTGCTAAGTCATTAAATTTTTTATTTAAATTTTAATTTTTAATCATATTATTTAAAGAGCCACATTAGTTCATTTATTGAATATTATAAAAAGTATTTTAATTATTACATAATATTGTTGATGGATGATGGCAATAATAAGTCATGTTGATACGTCATCAACAAATTTTCATCATCCGACACGAATTTCAAGGCACGACACCGATCTCGGGATAATATCTTGAACAAGAAATATTCAAACTTCGATTAAGAGTCATCCGGAGCTCCGATTTCAACAAATTTATAGTCAAACTGATCGGTTCGATAAGACGAACATAATGATATGAAAGTCAGTCCAATCCAAGTCAAATCAAGCCCGGATCAAATCATTAAACCACTATTGGAGGATTTTCAGAAGCATTTGAATGGTCAAATGGATGTTGAATCTAGCGAGTTTATAGTCGAATCGAGCGTCACGAAAAGACGAATCCAACGAGTCCAAGATTGCTTAATTCTGACATCGTTAAGACACTCAAATGTCCATCAAACGTCATTTGATCAAAGGAAGCTCTCTGGGCCGTCCGATCAAAATGGTTCATATTTCTGCATTAATTACACTCAAAACACTATAAATAGAGTCTCACCCCTCACATGAAAAGGGGAAGAAGGCTTAAGAGAGAACTTGAGGCTTTGAGAAGGAGCTCAAGTCCAAGATCATCCTCGCCATCGTCGATCGCCGTCGACCACCTGACCGTCGACAACAAAAGTCGAACTCCGTCGACCACCATCGTCCGTCATCAGCCACCGTTGACCTCTGTCGACCACCACCGACCGACACCGATTGTCGTCGACTACCGTTGATCACTGCCATCCTCCATCAATCACCGCTTACTAGACGTCATCAGTTGATGTTGTAAAGTGGAAAGCTAGTTACCCTTTCCCGCCAGTGGGACATGGGACATTTGTAATCATCAACTTATAGTGGATTTTTACAACTGGGTCAGGCCCCGTGGTTTTTTCCCTTTTTACGGGTTTTCCACGTAAAAATTTCTAGTGTGATCACAGCTCGATTCATTTTTATCTGAGTGTGTGCTGAATTCTCGTGCAACGCTAAGACGATAATCCGTTACTCTACCGCCGCAAATTTTCTAGTACTCATCACATGTGAACATTTTTAAATCTCTCTCTGTCTCTCTCTCACTCTTTATATATATATATAATAGATAGATTGGTTGTAAGTTGACAATTGTTTTGGGCTTGGGCCACAACCATTTGTAATAAGGATATATACATAAGAGATAAGCATGGAGACAGAGCTAATTTTTAATGGGCTTTTGATGATTGTTCAATGTTAGTTATCAAAAGTAGTAGAAAAGTGACGCATAAATGAGTAACGACAATAATGTAATTGCACGTGAAATGCCTCCTACAATTTTGAAGTTAAATTTAATAAATAATTATTCAAAATTTATGCTATAAAAACAAATAACGGGACATTTGGATGGGAAGGAAAGTTTTGTACATGCCACATCTATTGAAGTTATTGCGATAAGATTTGTCTCTTAAAAGGACTTGTTGAGCTCCTTAATCAAGTTCCTCGGTATTCTTGCGAACATCTCTGCTCGAGCTCGCCAACGCTGGTCGAGTTCCTCCACTGAGCTCACCTGCAATTATCTAGCTACACCACCAAGCTCATTGAACGATCCTTCCAGATTGTCTCTACTTCAGAAGGAAATAAACTCAAAATCTACATCGTCCATATGCATTTATTTATTCTTTGATTTTTTTTTTATTTTTGTTCAATTTTTTTCTCTTTGGTAAGCCCTTTAAGGACAAGAACATTGAGAGTTACATACATAAGAAGATGAAAAGAGAGGGATCAATCGGAGGAGAACAAACATTTCATGAAATCCCCTACTCCTTTCCAATTCTTTCACTAACCTTACATGGTCTCTTTTCGAACTATATGTTAGAATTGAAGTTAAGGTGTAAAATATGTAAATATACCATAAGAATTGAAAATTTGCACTTGCAACCAACAAAGTGATGTCTCTCCTCAAAGTAATTAAGTCAATCCTACTCTTTAATTATGGTCTAGAAGAAGAACAAATATTTTTTATTTACATGATAAAAAACTTCCCCTTATAATGATTCCATTATGAATCAAATGCTTCTAAATAAAGCTAAACGAAGCCGAATAAGAGAGCATCAACAAATTATGCATGCATGAAATTCGACGCATATGGGTAGGCTCTTTTTGGGTAGGTTTTTGAAAAAAATGGACAAAAATGTAATTTTGTCAAACACTTGGGTGCGGTGTGGCACAACCTTAACCATACAATATATATTTCATATTTTATTTATCATTTATTTTTCTAGCAAATTTTCACGTGTAACATTCGAATTTTAATTATTTATTAAGCCTTGTAAAGCTTTTATGCATCCATTTCTAGCCGAATCCCATAGATATATGGGTTTGATAGTTAAAAAAAAAAAAGATATAAGGGTTTGTTTTGTAAATTAGAAATATGCCTTTACTTTTTTTAGGAAAATTAATATTTATAAGTCATGATGCATGCCAGAAAATTCGCGGCGGTAGAGTAATGAATTATCATCTTAGTTTTACACGAGAATTCAATACACACAGATAACATAAGAGAAATAAGCAGGAGGAGACACCTCGACTTTTTACGTAGAAAACCATTGAAATAATCCACTATGAATGATGAGT